AGTATCAGTCTGCGTCCTGGCCCAAGTGATGGTGTTGGCACTCCTGATCAGTCTGCGTCCTGATTCAGGAGCATCAGTCTACGTCCTGAGCCTCACCGTTGCGAATCTGCATTTTCTTGAAGTTGTTATTTGCTGTAATATTGTTTTTCGTTTTTACTTTCATTATTGCCTTCTCTACAACAGGTGAATAATGAACGTTCAGGAAAAGGGTTACAGGCCTATTGGGAGGGCGTGATCTGTAAACGGAAGAAGGTAATTAACCCTTTTATTTTACTTCCTTTCATTCATTCTTATTGATCTTGTTCAATATTCAAAATAGTTGGAGGTGAAACGCACCCACATTCTTGGAAGCCTTCATCTTTTAAATGAAGCTGGACAATATAATGTTGATGATCTCTTGTCGGAAGGATTTTCGGACCCTTTACTTATTGATGCATCATCATCTACAACCAAACGCACTTTAGATAGCACTATACAAACTTCTTCCAAAAGGACTAAGGTTAGTACAGAATAAAATTTGTAGATAACACAAAAATACAATAAATATTTTTTGATATGTAGGTTAAAAGTTCTAATAAAGATAGATCTTTGGAAAGCTCGGAACAACATCTACAATATTCTCCTCATGATACGCAAAATTCTGGTGATGATTATATACGACCCCCTTCTTACAACAATACATTTAGTGCTGAATCAAATGAATGCGCTTTGGATAGTTTGGTAGAAAGTGATATAGAAGTGATTGAAATAGATGAGGAAGATGAAATCAAGAATCTTACAGAGGTATTTGGTATTTGGTATTTTTACGTATAGCAACCATATTCATTCATAATTGATCTTCTAGGATGAAATTGAAATTCGAAATAAGATACTCAAGGTTTTGGCTAGATGTCAAGACGAAGAAAAAAAGTCGAAAAAATCTCACATGACATCAATATATCTTAATAATATAATGGATCTGACTGATATAAAAATACGCAAAAAAGTTGAAAAGTCCTTAAATGAAGATCAGCTTTTATGGTTTAACAAGATTCTCAAAAAACAGATTTCAAACCAAACTGACGAGTTCAAAAAGTATTTGAATCAATTTACCGGAGCTGTATGTAATAGAGCTCAAATCCCAACTCTAGTCCGTAAATCTTTTGTTTCAGGAAGATTTGACTCTTATTATTACGAAGACTATGATATTGCTCACCAAATACTTGAGCACTGGTAATTTTGTATGTATTTTCATTTTTGTTTAGTCGATTTCTATTATTAATATTAACCATTTTGTAAATAGCGCTACTCGGTTAGAAGCTCCGATGAGCTATGAATCCAATGGTTTTAATTTAGAACGAACCTTTGCAATAGACACTATAATCTACATTTTAAATCGGTTATTCAGGATGCATCAGGATGTTATAGATAGTGGATGGTAAGAATCTAAGATAAATTTTAAAGTAGACTAGCTTTAAGTTAATTTTTTTTTTTATTTAGGATTGAGTTGACGACTCCTCACACTAACCGTCATAAATTCGATGGATTATTTAAAGTGTTAAGAACAAGACAAGGTAATCAAGTTATAGCCGTTGTCGAATTTTCAGGTGGCAGAAAGGCATCCTCAACTAAAGAAAACGATGATCATGTTAAATTGTGTCGAAACTCGATGAGGATTCTAAATTTTATATTGCAAACCATACCAAGGGAAATGGCGCGAATCTACTTAATACAATTTGTCAGTAAGTATTTTTATTAAAAAGTCTGAGTAATTATAAAAAGTGCAAATTATAACATATTTTGTTCTAAAATAATTTTATAGACAGCTATCTTAGGATTGAATATTTGATCCGCCCCTTACCATCCGTGTATCTTCTTGACCATTTTATATTTACTAAAGTACCCGAGACCTTTGATGACTTTGAAAATTTTGCCAAAGATATGGTGGAATTGATGTATTGGCAGGTATGAGCTTATAAGTTGTTCGGATTTCTTTTTTACAGTAGTTAATTTTTATTATTATAGGCGGATGTCTTATTCACGGTTAAGGAAATAAACAAGATCCCGTACACAGCTGAAAGAAATAATGTCTGCACAACTCCACTAGAAGAATCACCAAGAAAGGTTAAAAGAAAAGTCATAAAGAAAGTTAATGATTCATATTCAGAATCGACATGTCCTGGATCGCCATTGATTTAAAGATATTTATGTATTTAGCTTATCTGAATATCCATTGCGTCGGTGCGGAGGAAATACATAACTGAATTTTTATGTTTTAACTTTTGTCTTTGAAATCTTGTAATGCATAAACCAAAAAAAAACTATTTTTTTTATACAATGTATATTTGTCTATTTCATGTAACATGTCTATTACGGCTTATACTATAATGCTGTAATTGACATATAGCGGCTTCCCAAAAGAATGTAACACTTGTGAATAAATTTTTAGTTGCATATATTCTTGAAATTTAAATTCAAATAATGAATATACAATATTTAAAATTATTTTATTATTATTTTATTATTTTAATTTTGATATTTAAAATTTTATTAAAATTTTATTAGTTTATTTTTTTATTTAAATTCTATTTAGTAAAATAATTTTAATATATTTTAATTTACTGTAATTATTTTTATTTTAAACAAAGATTTAAAAAAGTATAGATAAAGAAGTAAATAAAAAATTAGATAATTTTTTTTTGAAAAAATATTAATCAAAATAATATAAAATTATAAAAAAATATACTAATTCCTTTATCCAATATAAATATAGTTATCCCAAATATATTTACAATCTAATTTCATCTCTATAAAATACTATTTTTTCTAATATTAAGTAAATATTTATGGCTGCTTAATATCATATGGCAAGATATATTGTTTTGAATTTTCTTTTTAATAATAATTATTTAATTACTGTAGATAAGAATCCTAATGAGAGAACTTTTTTTCTTCTGTATAAGTTCCATCTGAATATGAATCCATTTATATAATATAAAGTTGACTAATCAAGATAATTGGATTGGCTTAAGAGAAATCTGTAATATTGGAAACAGTATTTATTAAGTAGTATTAATTTATATTTAGAATAACAATAATCTAATTTGTAAAGATATTTAATATAATAATATAATGTTAATTATTAATAAAGCTTTATATTTAATGCTCTTAATCAATTAAAAAAAAAAAATCTTAATAATTTAATTTGATTTGATTTTCAATTCTCAAATTTATATTAAGTTTAATATATAAATTATAATTCATCTTTGTTTTTAATAGTATTTCAAATTTTATACAAATCTATAGTAGTTGACATAAATATTTGAAATTTTTTTTTTATTTATATTGACTGCTCAAATTTCATATGTATATTGTTTAATATAATAATTAATTATATACAAAAAATTAATAATTAATCTTATTCTTATCATACTTAATATTTTTGCATGTCAATTCATTATGCTTATTGCCAATCTAAAAAAAATAGCTAAATTCAGATTTTTCTATTCCTAATAAATTATCAATTAAAATTTGTCTATTAAAAGTGTTTTTTTTTTCTTTACCCAAAGATTTT